CACGCCTCCCTCACTCTTTTCTCTCCATTTTCTCCCAAAAATTTAGAACTCTCTCCCTCCCTTTTCCCTCATCTTCTTTGCTGGAAATATCACTCAATCTCGTTGAAAAAATCACCGGAGCATCCCCACCGCAAGCGCCGTTCGCCAGCTGCTGCCGAGACGCGCATGCGATGCCGAGCTTGCTGCTCCCCGTGACCGTTGCACATCCGCACTCTCTCCGTTCAATGTTCGCCCATGATCACGAGCCATCGAAGACTTCTCAATCGCCATGCGAGCCGCCTTCAACGTCGAGCACGTTCACCCAGATGATTTCCCTGCCCGGCACAGAACCGTTCGTCACTTCCCTTGGTGTGTGGTAATAATTTGCTAAACTCCATTATTTCTACGTGTTTATATGTTAAATTGTTGATTATTATATATTGCTTAAATTATTTGATTAATATGATATAGTATGTTAATTAGTGAATTGTTTTAAATTAGATCTTTGGGTCTAAATGTGGGACCCTTAGCATCTGAACGAATCTCGTGGCTAACTCTTGGATTATGGAACATCTTTGTGTTCTGAACACAATTGTTTTGGCCTTGTGCAATTTTGACTTGTATTTTTTGAGATATGGATTTTTGAAGTCGATGTCGTTTCTGAAACTTGTAAAATGCATGATAATCTATAACGTTGTCCAACAATTCTGAATTATGGATATGTTGCCCCTGTGTAATAACCCAGTTTCTTATGAATAAAAGCGATGTATTTCCTTTTATTATTCTCGTTCATTTTCAGCGAATAAGTTCGACTTTAAGTCGAAAAGTCAATTCAATTAATTATTAACCGAGTCAAAGTCGATAATTAATTTCCGAACCGTTTATTTTATAAACGGATATTATTAATCGGGATTGATTATTGAAAGTTAAGAATGTTCGGATTTAATTTCGAAGTCAAATCAAGTTAAGTCATGAATGTACATAAGGTACACTATGCACGCACGCCGTGCATAGCCATGCATGTAGCACGCGCACGCGACCGTGTGCAGCGTACGGCGCTGCGCGTAGCTCACGTCATTAAGCTCTAAGCATGCTCATATTGCCCTAAGCATCATGATCAAGCAAAGGAAATCCAAATCCACTTCCTTAGAATTTCCGTGAGGATTTTACTAAGGGATAAAAATTGGTGTGCAAGTGGTGTGGTGACTCACCTACTTGCTTAGTACACATAGCTCACGTGGATGAGTAAGCACACGCATGCGCGCCACCTAGACGATGACTAAGCCAAACCATGGCCACCAAGTCGTGTGAGTTGGGCAAGTGTCCCCAACAAGACTTGGTCAATGTTACCCTCAATTATCTTCTTCATTTTACTATTATATATAAGTTAAGGCACGCCCATGCATTTTCTTCATGCAAACCGAGACCAACTTCAGCAAACAATAGAGGGAAAATAGTGAGGAGATAATAGAGGAAAAATCATACAAAAATAGTTTAGTATTGCCGAAGCAAAAGGGAAGCAAGCACGCACGTGATCGAGCACCAGATACACACGCAAGTCGCCGTGCAATTCTCGACCGAACGTAAGGGTATAGACCTATTTACCCTCTTCTCATGTAATTAAGTCCATGATAGTAAGGTCATGTCAAAATCATGTCGTACGATTTAAGTTTTGTACGAAAACGTACTCGGAGGTGCTATATAAGCCCTCCCGAGTGATTTCAAAAGTTAACCGGCAAGTCCCGAGCAATTTATGTATATTTAGTCATTTCAAGTCATTTTATGTTCAGTAGTATGTGGGTTGCCGGAAAAAATAGCCGGACGGCCGGCGAAAGGCCGACCGTGATGCCAGTCCGCACACAGCGTGCGCACGGCACGCCCGGCAAGTCCCAGCAAGTACGGTGGCAGCATCCGCACGCCCAGCGGTGCATGTGTGTTGCCAGTACTCGGCAGTCAAGCCCCAGTCATGCGTGTAGGCGTGCGCAGTATGCATCAACACGCACGGCAGTGTCCGCTTAGCCAGCCCGCGTACACCACAGCGCATCACACGCCCAGCAGCGTGTCCTGCGACGTGATGACGGATCGTGTTGTTATCTATACATGGGTTGTGAATAAACGCGCACTAGGGCCTTCGTTTATCCACGATAGGTGTATCTAACAGACGCACTATCGGCCTTCTCTTAGACACTGTGACTTCAAGACGCTCTAATGGCCTTCTCTCTGACACTATATGTAAACACGCACTAACGGCCTTGTTTAAACACACGTAAGAACATAAGTTCCCCTCTCAATTGGCTCACCAATTCAATACTCAATTCAAGACATTCAAGACATTCAATTATGATGAGTACATGGGGTTTTTATAGGTGCAGAAATAAATCTAAGCCTAACTATACTAGATCTCCTCAATCTTGCAATAATAGAAATCCTAATACTAGAAAGCAATAAAATCCAATTACTACCAAAATACTAATGCTTGGCTGGCACACCAAGCAAATCTAGAAGCTTCAAGTCTTGCGCATGTCCAAGTCACCGCCTCTACGCGCGCCGCCCTCGGCTTTCCTATTCCTCGGCGCGCGAGGCATCGCGCGCCTTGCCTGCTTCGCACGTGCACGTCCCTACCTCGCCTAGTCCCGCGCGGACTAGGCTTCATCCGTCTGCCTCGCATGCGCACGCCATTCCTATTCCTTGTAGGACCATGCTTCGAACCCATATCCACTATTCCTATTCCTACTAGGAATATGCTCCCGGTTACGTTTTCTGATCTTCCGAGGATTACTCCCGTCATCGATCTTCCACGCGCATTCCGGCACTCAACTGCTTTTCCTATTCCTGCGAGGATTAGTATTCGCGCCTCGCCTATTCCTACGAGGATTAGGCTTGCCACCCCGGTCTTGACTTGTGCCTCGCGCGTGTCGCCTTGCGCCCCGCGCTCATCGTCCGGCGCGCCCAATGCCCGCGCATCGCCCATCGCTCGATGCGCGCCCGTCCATCTGCAGCAACTCCCCTCGCGCGCCGTGTACCCAACAACCTCCCCCTGGGCGCCACTTCGCCACACGCGTCTACGCCAATGTGCGTGTGCGCGCCCTTGCCTAATACACCTCTCCGTGCGTGCGAGCGTTGCTAGCCTCGATACCATCTTCTTGCGTGTCCTCGTGCACCTCCATGCGCGACCCTCATTAACTGCTTCGTGCGCTCGTGTATCACGTCCATGCACTCCTCGATCCAAGCCCATCCGCATACGCACTCGTACCCATCTTTTAGGCCATGCTTGCATCGTTTTGGCCCTATTTTCAGCCTCCTCGAGTCCTCTTGGCTCTCAGCCCTTCTTGTCACAAGGGTACGGAACCCACTTCCGTATCATTCCCCTCCTCTTCAAGACTTTCCTTGTCCTCAAGGATTCATCCTCGACCATCCAAACATCGGGCACTATTTCTTCGATCTCGACCATGACTTCGCTCTCGGCAACCACTTCGATCTCAAGTTGGAACGTCGCGTCCCCTTCATCCGTATTGTACCTCCTACGCGTCTTGTTAGGGCCCTCATCTGCCACGGCCAAGATCTCAACTTCAAACATCTCTTCGACCATGATCTCGCTTGCAACATTGATTACTTTGTCCTCCACGCTCATCTTCTCGCCAAGGCCCTCTTCGACCACGAGCAAGATCTCTTCCTCGACCTCGACCACTTCGGCTTCTTGCGCGCACGATTCTGGGAACTTCTCATCGGCCTCGGCTTGTTGCCCTTCCTCCATGATCTTGAGTTGTCTTTCATACTCCTCCTTTTGCTCGTACATCTCCTCCAAATATTCTTGCTCCCAAGGGGTTAATTCCCTCTCCAAACTTTCGAGGTATTCGAGATCCTCCCAATCCCACTCAACTAATTGTGGGTAAGACATTTTTTTTTTTTTGACTCTAAAAAATTCGAACAAAAAATCGAACCAAAATAAAAATAAAACAAAGAGAAATTCGGCCCCTCAACAAAAGGTAATAACCAAACAAAAATAAAACAAAGGACTAGATGACACTTTTTTTTTAAAAGACTTACGAAAAATAAATGAAAAATTCGAATAGAAAATTCAAAAATTTCGAACCAAAAAAGAACAAAAATTTGGCCCCCTTAGCAAAAGGCAAAACCGAAAAAAGAAAAAAAAAGATAGATAGATAACAATACGATCAGCACCTCTCAATGAAAGCACCAATGATGACGGATCGTGTTGTTATCTATACGTGGGTTGTGAATAAACGCGCACTAGGGCCTTCGTTTATCCACGATAGGTGTATCTAACAGACGCACTATCGGCCTTCTCCTAGACACTGTGACTTCAAGACGCTCTAATGGCCTTCTCTCCGACACTGTATGTAAACACGCACTAACGGCCTTGTTTAAACACACGTAAGAACATAAGTTCCCCTCTCAATTGGCTCACCAATTCAATACTCAATTCAAGACATTCAAGACATTCAATTATGATGAGTACATGGGGTATTTATAGGTGCAGAAATAAATCGAAGCCTAACTATACTAGATCTCCTAAATCTTGCAATAATAGAAATCCTAATACTAGAAAGCAATAAAATCCTACTACTACCAAAATACTAATGCTTGGCTGGCACACCAAGGAAATCTAGAAGCTTCAAGTCTTGCGCATGTCTAAGTCACCGCCTCTACGCGCGCCGCCCTCGACTTTCCTATTCCTCGACGCGCGAGGCTTCGCGCGCCTTGCCTGCTTCGCATGCGCACGTCCCTGCCTCGCCTAGTCCCGCGCAGACTAGGCTTCGTCCGTCTACCTCGCATGCGCACGCCACTCCTATTCCTTGTAGGACCATGCTTCGAACCCATATCCACTATTCCTATTCCTACTAGGAATATGCTCCCGGTTACGTTTCCTGATCTTCCGAGGATTACTCCCATCATCGATCTTCCACGCGCGTTCCGGCACTCAACTGCTTTTCCTATTCCTGCGAGGATTAGTATTCGTGCCTCGCCTATTCCTACGAGGATTAGGGTTGCCACCCCAGTCTTGACTTGTGCCTCGCGCGTGTCGCCTTGCGCCCCGCGCTCATCGTCCGGCGCGCCCAATGCCCGCGCCTTGCCCATCGCTCGATGCGCGCCCGTCCATCCGCACCAACTCCCCTCGCGCGTCGTCCACCCAACAACCTCCCCCTGCGCACCACTTCGCCACGCGCGTCTACGCCAATGTGCGTGTGCGCGCCCTTGCCTAATGCACCTCTCGGTACGTGCGAGCGTTGCTAGCATCGATACCATCTTCTTGCGTGTCCTCGTGCACCTCCATGCGCGACCCTCATTAACTGCTTCGTGCGCTCGTGTATCACGTCCATGAACTCCTCCATCCAAGCCCATCCGCATGCGCACTCATACCCGTCTTTTAGGCCATGCTTGCATCGTTTTGGCCCTATTTTCAGCCTCCTCGAGTCCTCTTGGCTCTCGGCCCTTCTTGTCATAGGGGTACGGAACCCACTTCCGTATCACGATGCCCGTACGCACGCCAACAGCGTTCAGCGCACGCTGGCCAGCAGTCACGCACGCCAGCACGCCCAGCAGCGTGCCAGCGATGCCCAGCAGGCCTCGGCGTTGCCCGACAGCATGCCCGAGCGCCCAGTCATCCCAACACATATAGCCTATGTACCAGTCGCCTGTCTATGGTGCGTAGTGACGCCCGACAGTGCTAGTACGAGCTAA